CCCCCCCCCCCCCCCCCCCAAGGCTCCCACTCTCCCCGGAAAACCTGAGTTTACAACCAGCTGCGACTGCATTTGTATCCGTGCCAAAGGCTTATTGGAGGAATCTTCAGGCCACCCTTGGGCTCCGTGTGGAGAGGAGGAGGAGGAGGTGGTGGGTGGGTGGGGGGGGCGTGGCCGGCGGCACAAAGCACCTCACTCTGGCGGAGAAAGAAAACACCCTCCCGCCCCCTGTCTTCCATGCCCCCCACTCAGAACACGGCTCTCACTCTCAGGCACGCAAACGGCATGAATCATGTGGATACACACCCCGGCCACACGCGTGACCTCTCCTCTCCGTGCACACACACATGCAGACACAGACACGCGTGCAGGATGTCAGGCTGCGTTTCAGGGCCCTGTGCTCTCGCGCCTCCCTCGCTACAGCAAAGTGATCTGTGGCTCTAATATGGCCCAGGGCCCCGGAGGATTCAGCTGCCGCCGTGATGACGGGCAGGGGGGGTGGGGGGCGTGGGGGAATGTATTCATGAAGCGAGGAGCCCAGGGCCAAGCGAGCGGAGCCAGGGTGAAGAGGGGAAGCGAGGAGGAGGAGGAGGAGAGTGAGCAGGCCCCGGGAGGCAGAGATACCCAAGGGCCCGGCCTGCGCTGGAGCTGCTGGGGGGAGTTGAGGGGGGTGACGTTATTATGCCCAGCTCATTACTCAGAACCTGGCCAGCCCCCAGCTTGTGCCAAGAGCCTACATTCCTGTGTTTATGCCCGGCCCGGCCCCCCCCACAGCCCCCACCCACCGGCCCCGCCCCCTCAACTCGACCCACTCACATAGAGTGACCTATGCTGACCAATCACAGCCAGGCTTCTACCTGCAGTGGGAAAAACTACAGCTGCGTGTGCATGGGTGTGTTTGCGTGTGTGTGTGTGCGCGTGTGTGTGTGTGCGTACACGCCGTCTGATAACAGATGAGGGGCTGACTTCCCATCTTTGCCACGAATGAGTGAAATTAGGCACAGATTCCCCAGGAGGGCGGCGCCGTGGCGCTGCCGCTCCCGACGCAGGGTTAATTCGCACGCGCTTCTCATTTGTAGCTGACAGGCGGAGGCCCCGCCCCATCCTCCGGACTGACAGCACTCCCATTTACCCACACGGCGCTGCTGTGGCGTCACCATCACTCTAACTGGCCCAGCACCTCCTCGCCCGTCATGCCAGCTCCCCACTAGGGTCTCGCACGAGGATGACAGAAGCAGAGAGAATAAAACCTGACAGTGGACTAAACTGGGACAGAGAAGTAAAAAGGAAAGCGAATGGAAATTATTTAAAATATCGCATATATTTAACAGAGCCTTTATAAATTTTACTTATTGTAAGACTTCAGAAAAACAGGAATACACACTGACTCACACCGTAGTGTCCATGAACTTTAATAGCTTAACACGATGCTGTTGCTAGTTGTGGGGAAACGACTCGTTTAAAGATGATAATTATGATTAAGGTTCCTTATGGCTTTGCGCAACGGCATTATGGGCAATAACAAATGAGAACTGAATATTAAAAGGCTTCGGTTTGACCTCCGACAGTAAGCACCACGAGCCGCTGCTTCCCCAGTGCTAAAACGCGATTCATACAGCTCCAGTGCCCCCCCCCACTGCTGGGAACGCGATCCGATCGCTGGCTTCGGCGCTCACACACGTACCGTTCGGTTAGTGACCGGGCTGGCCGGCGCCGAATCCGCCTGGGACAGACCTGCACGACACGCCTGAGGGGATGAGGCCTTTTCTGCTGCCATTTTTAGTCTTTAGTGTAATCTAGTTCTCCCGTAAGCCTCAGGTGTAGCTTAAAGAGATTAAAAATAAAAAAAACACAGCCTGAATATGCTGAGAGAGACTGCACTGGCTGGGTCACTGCTGCCCGCGCACGTGCGCGCGTATGTGTGTGTGTGTGTGTGTGTGTGTGTGTGTGTGTGTGTGTATGTGTGGCCCCTTTCCTGCCAAAACTCCTTTGTCACATGACCTGGGGATGGGGGGGCGCGAGAAGCAAAGGGCACAGGGGCCATCCAGCTAAAGCTGGCCACAGCGAGCGGAGGGGAGCTGGGAAAATACTGACTCAGCAGTGTCCATTAAAGCACAAACCTGCGTGACGGGGGCCAATCAAACGGCCTAATTCGTCCAGATGGATGTACTGGTGTTCTTGTATTTTGTGAGGTTTATTTTAATGGTCGGTTGAATAATGTCAAACCCCCCCCTCCCCAGCCACACTCAACCTGCCCCTAGAGTCCTACACCCCCCACCCACAAGCCTTCTGCCCCTGACCAGAGGGACCATGGTGGGGGGGTGTCAACTGGCAAGGAGGCACCTGCGCAGGGGGCGGCACGGAAGGGGGCGGAGAACAGAGGGGGGAGCCCCACCCCCACCCCGTCCTGGCGCAGAGCAGCAGAGCAGAGTGGAGCACCGAATGTTCTCCATTTGATCTCCGGGTTTTTTCCAAGCACTCCTCGGGGAGGGAGAATGTTCCAGATTTTTCCTCCTGTTGAGACGCTCCCTAGACACGCGCGTCCAGCGTGCCGCCCCACAGCACGGCAGCAAACACATACAAACACATGCACGCTACGTCGTCCACACATACAAACACATGCACGCTACGCCGTCCACACATACAAACACGCGCACGCTACGCCGTCCACACATACAAACACGCGCACGCTACGCCGTCCACACATACAAACACATGCATGCTACGCCGTCCACACATACAAACACGCACACGCTACGCCGTCCACACATACAAACACGCACACGCTACGCCGTCCACACATACAAACACGCACA